CAGGTTTTAATGAGCTCAGAAAAATAGACCTACACCTTGTTTAATGACAAAAGAATTACTGATGAATTAAAAGGTTTGTCCCCTGTCTAACACTGACTGTCAATACGTACAGGAGGATTAAAATCTTAATTAAAAATGAAGGTGCTGTGTTGGCAAAACAGCTGGTTAAACTGTCTGTCAATCAAATGATTTCTCATAAATACTAACCTGAAAGTGCGGAGCCTACATCTCTGACTTTTCTACATCACACGTTGGTCAAGGTGGTTTATATGAGGAAACTTATCTGTGAAGTTGATAAGTTACAGTCATTTACTTCTGTTCCCACACGGCCACTGATGGAAACTGATCTCAGAGCAGTGAAACCAGAGCAGTAGTTTGTCTAGCACATTGGTCCCCCATCGGTTTCACATCAAACCTGCTGGGTGCTTAGCTTGACAGGGTCCAGCTGTTGTTTACAGGACACACACATGTCCATGAAATCAAAGGAAGCTAAAGATTCCAGTGGCCCCACATAAAGCAGAGTTAAGCCTGCTTCCAGAAACAATAGCCAACTGCTGCCACAAGATTCACTAATTTTAAGGATGGATGCAAAATGACAGAATGTTTTATAACAACACAGTTTGAAATGAAAGCAGAAAGACTGATTTGACCTTGGAAAACTTTCTTTAATATCTATTTCTAGATTTCACCAGACAGGCAGTGCTTATTTTTGAAAAAAAATGTCAATAGTTCTAGTTTATCTGTTATATTTAGCCAGCAGTTTACTTTCTTTATCCATACTAAGAACTGTAAGTGTTAGCTTCAACATTAGTTAATGATTTTGGATTTTTCAGCCAGCTATGTAGCTACTTTTCTGCAAGCTGTCAGGTCTGTTTAGCTAACAGTATTATCTGTTAGCTAAACAGGTTATCTGTTTAACCTGATTTTAGCTAATGATTACAGCAACGGTTTAATCTATAATTGTATCCATTTGTTACAACTGCTCACCCCAATAACTGTATAGCATAATATTTCAGCTATTAACATCTATCCTTTTGTTAGATATTGTAACTGCAAGCTATTCAGCTAATGCTGCACTAATTTATGACTTTTTTCTTGTTTGGCTAACTGTTTTGCTTATTTGATCTCAACTGCTAACCATAGTTTTACTTAAAAATGATCAACTTTCTTTGTTCAGTTTAATCAGTATGTTTAACTAACAATTTATTGTGTATACATACTGTAGGCTAACACTGTCAGCGGTCAGCTATACTCGAGGTATAACTTCAGTCTTTTTTTGTTAATTTTATCAAGCTATTTTACTTTTTTATCCATACTGTAAGCTAACAGTTTCAGCTGCTTATGCATACTACATAGACTTTCTGTAATCATTAGTATTAGCTATTGATTTCAGTTGTTGGTCATCATTTTAATGATTTATTTCAACTTTTTATTAATTTATTTTTTAATTTTGGTCAATTAATCACATTTAAGTCATTTATGTATTTGCTTTAAACTGTTCCAAAAAAGACAAACAAAAAACATCAAAGGTGACAGTACAGTCAGCTTATTTTAGCTTGTGTGCAGGCAAGAAAAAATGGTGTTGTAGTCCACACCTGTTGTGGAGTGAAAATGTGGTCATTAAATGTATTTTTATTACAAAAACAAACCAAAAAAGGCACAAGGAGGCTGAATTGAGGACAAAAATATCTTCATTATACTGCTAATACAGCTGTTTGCAAACATCTGCACATGAAGCGTGCTAATGCAGAGCTAGCAGAGAACCAGGAGCGAGTGTATGCTGACCCTAGGCCTGCAGCCAGATCCTGATCTTCAGCAGATAACAAAGACAGGTTTACAGCACTGTAACCTCCATTTCTACCTGTGCATGTTTCTACTCAAGAAACACATTGCATGAACACTTTGAAGTCTCTTTGAGCTGGTTTGCAACATTACTTTGTGTCTGTGAAGGTTCTCAGTCATCCAGGTCATCGTAGTCAAAGGAGCTTGCAAAGAAAAGCGTCTGGACTTCTTTAAGTTAACTTAAAGAAGT